CTAATTGTGCTTAAAAGTTATTTGCCAAGTTAGAAAATCTACATATCCTGGATGACCGGCCTCTTCTTGCTCCCAGGCATACCCTATGAGAAATGATTAATAAAAATTATTACTGAAAAAAAAAAAAATTCGAACTATAGACAGCTTGGTGAGGCGTATCTTTGGCTGATTTCTTGTGTACTTACAAAATTGATGTACAGTAGGTGGCTAGGTTTTAATCCATATTTTAGAGAACTGATAAAATTTTTTGCTCACAAAAAGCCAGTAGGTGGGTTTTTCTCATGAATGGAGTAAAGGTATTGACTTAGGTACATGCCAGCAAGGGAAGCTGCAGGAAATGGCTAATTAATGCCAGTACTTTCCTGAAATAGTTATCTAACCCACAAACCTGAGGCTAACGGTCCCCTAATTTTATCCCGCCCCACCCTCTCTCTCCATCGGTGCTGCAATTTATGGGTATTTAAGACGTAATCCACCAGGAAATTGAGTAATTTTAGCAGCATACGTAGACTGTTGGGTCTCCATTGTTCTAGATAGGAGGTCTATTGTCTTTCGAGCCTTCTGATTGGTCGAGAGGATATGTCGATCTATTGTTGGGGGAAATCGGAAATATCTTAGAACGAGGCTCGGGTGAAGCCGGAAGCGATCGGAGAGAGCTCGGGTCCCTTCGGAACGGGGTCGGAATTATGTTAACGAGGGATGATGTCATGAGGCAAGAAGGAGAGACACAGCATGCGCAAGGCAGAACGCAGGCGCAGTAACGAAAAACGTTGTGAATAAATTTGTTTAATCAAATTACAAGTATTATAAAGTCAGGGAAAAGTCAGAGATATTGGAATAACAGTCGATCAGCCAGTCAAGGAGAAATCCGTTTACCAATAAATCGAGAATGACTGGATTGCCTTGCGTTCCATTAACTGGATATCGGTACAATGGAATCGAAGGACCGTAATAGGCGCGCAGTAAATCTAAAATGAGAGCATCGTTGAATTTCTTTTCATGCTTGTTCTCTGTCACAACCATATCGATCTAGAAGAAAAAGTGTGTTTAAGAAATATTGCTTGAAGGTAAAGGATTGTGAAATAGTCATTGACGTAAATAAGATTACGACTAATCCCCGAAAACAAAGGGCAAATGAATTGCAAAATAAAATAAACGTTCAAACGTACCGAGTATTGCTTGGTTTTTCGTCTAAAACAGTGAGGACAACCGTAAAAGCTAGGATAAGGTTTGTTTTCCATAGCAGAAGAAAAACGTTTGTAGCCACTTGAAAACGAAAATGCCACGAACATGGGAATGCCTGTTCTAAGGCAACGGGGAAGGCGGGTAAATTCTGTCATTGGTCATGAAACATTGGGTCCAGAACATAATGATAACTTGAACCTCGAAAGGTAGCAGGTTACCGAAAGGCTTGTTTTTTGGGTCTACTAAGCCCTTGTATTTCATTGCTTCGTTAGCAAAAACAGAACAACAGAAGTGTCTTGCCATGTGCTCTATGCAAATGCTAGGTGTGTGAAAAACACAAGGGAATAGGCTAAACCAATCGAGACTAAAAAAGTCGCTGGGGAATCGAAATTAACCAATGAAAGAGTTAGCCAACATATAGAAAACTAAAAGAAGCTAAAACGAGGCTCGGGTGATCAATCGAAGGGGTCGGAAAGGGTAGTCAGTAAAACATATGATGCAATATGCAATGAAAGGAATAAGAATATGTAATGTGTAAAAATATCAAACGCAAAATTACATGTTTAAAAATATCAATCGCAAAATTACAAAATAAAGGAAAGGGCAGCTGGTAAACGAGAATATCTGTCGTGTAAATAGTCTGACAAAAAGTCCAAATTATCCTTAATCCTCTGATTCAGTGGTCTCTTGCCGTGTACCGGTAGTTCAAAGAGCTGTATCTCTGGACGAGCCTGTCTAAATAACTTCAAAATATGGGCCAAACTTGCATCATATTTTTTTGTCTTCGTTTCCTATAGCGACAATCATATCAATCTACAAGAAAAAGAAAAAATCTTAGTGGTAAGCATGAAATAAAACTGAAGGGAAATTGATGAACTGTACTTACCGACACTTGTTGTGTGTTCCTTCTGAAACAGTGAGGACAACCGTAAAAGCGAGGATATGGTTTGTTTTCCATAGCAGAAGAAAAACTTTTGTAACCGCTTGAAAACGAAAATGCCACGAACTTAAAACTTTGGTGCATACGTATTTTATTAATGAAGGATGGTAGTTATTCCTTTTAAGCATTTAAAAATGTTTAAATATCCACTGAATATCTGGCCTTTCCTTTCAAGATCATTTGCCAAAGCAAGTTCTATGCAATTTACAACATCTCGTTAATGGAGAAACTGTTCACTTATTTAAAACAAAATCAGCTTCAAAAGTCCTGGTAGATATTGGTTTCATTCAATGCCGGCTATATGTGTACTTAGAGATATAGGCTTGTAAGTTTCTCCATACATTTCTTGTCACAGTTGTCAGGGAATCACCCTCGAGACGCTTTTGCTCTCGACAGGTAGACAATTTTGTCGTTTTTTATGTTCGCAAGAAGATTAAAATCTTGGGGAACCTCCCTTCCCTCCATGAAAGGCGAGGACAGATTCCATCCACTCAAAGAGGGGACGGCTTCCTAAATTATCGTTCGTTGCCCCAATAAACTGTAACAAACAAGGGTTTCCTGCATCTGGTTGCTATGTTCATTTGCCTCTTGAACAATCGTCTGTTGTGAGACGAATGAATTAGGAGCTCCTCCTAAATCTGTTTAACTGCAATATTGCAGCCGCAAAACTTCCCTTCGACTACACTTCCCCATGCTCCCATCCCAAGATATTTCTGCGTCAACTGAAGTTCGTCGCGGGCAATGACCCAGTCAGGTGACTGTTGACATAAACGTTCTCTCAATGCTTGCTGAGATGCTGCGAGAGGGGATCTAAAGTTCATTTACCTCCCGTTTTTTGGCCCCTAAACGTTCCTCTAAAAAGATAATTTCTACATCTTTTCCCTGTATCTGTCTTTGAATATTTGTCAGCTGCTGTCTCATTACTAATTGTGCTTAAAGGTTATTTGCCAAGTTAGAAAATCTACATATCCTGGATGACCGGCCTTTTCTTGCTCCCTGGCATACCCTATGAGAAATGATTAATGAAAAATATTACTGAAAAAAAAAATTCGAACTATAGACAGCTTGGTGAGGCGTATCTTTGGCTGATCTCTTGTGTACTTACAAAATTGATGTACAGTAGGTGGGTAGGTTTTAATCCATATTTTAGAGAACTGATAAAATTTTTTGCTCACAAAAAGCCAGTTGGTGGGTTTTTCTCATAAATGGAGTTAAGGTATTGACTTAGGTACATGCCAGCAAGGGAAGCTGCAGGGAATGGCTAATTAATGCCAATACTTTCCTGAAATAGTCATCTAACCCACAAACCTGAGGCTAACGGTGCCCTAATTTTATCCCGCCCTACCCTCTCTCTCCATCGGTGGTGCAATTTATGGGTATTTAAGACGGAATCCACCAGGAAATTGAGTAATTTTAGCAGCATACGTAGGAGGTCTATTGTCTTTCGAGCCTTCTGATTGGTTGAGAGGATATGTCGATCTATTGTTGGGGGAAATCGGAAATATCTTAGAACGAGGCTCGGGTGTAGCCGGAAGCGATCGGAGAGGGCTCGGGTCCCTTCGGAACGGGGTCGGAATTATGTTAACGAGGGATGATGTCATGAGGCAAGAGGGAGAGACACAGCATGCGCAAGGCAGAACGCAGGCGCAGTAACGAAAAACGTTGTGAATAAATTTGTTTAATCAAATTACAAGTATTATAGAGTCAGAGAAAAGTCAGAGATATTGGAATAACAGTCGATCAGCCAGTCAAGAAGAAATCCATATACCAATAAATCGAGAATGACTGGATTGCCTTGCGTTCCATTAACTGGATATCGGTACAATGGAATCGAAGGACCGTAATAGGCGCGCAGTAAATCTAAAATGAGAGCGATTCGAGCATCGTTGAATTTCTTTTCATGCTTGTTCTCTGTCACAACCATATCAATCTAGAAGAAAAAGTGTGTTTAAGAAATATTGCTTGAAGGTAAAGGATTGTGAAATAGTCATTGACGTAAATAAGATTACGACTAATCCCCGAAAACAAAGGGCAAATGAATTGCAAAATAAAATAAACGTTCAAACGTACCGAGTATTGCTTGGTTTTTCGTCTAAAACAGTGAGGACAACCGTAAAAGCTAGGATAAGGTTTGTTTTCCATAGCAGAAGAAAAACGTTTGTAGCCACTTGAAAACGAAAATGCCACGAACATGGGAATGCCTGTTCTAAGGCAACGGGGAAGGCGGGTAAATTCTGTCATTGGTCATGAAACATTGGGTCCAGAACATAATGATAACTTGAACCTCGAAAGGTAGCAGGTTACCGAAAGGCTTGTTTTTTGGGTCTACTAAGCCCTTGTATTTCATTGCTTCGTTAGCAAAAACAGAACAACAGAAGTGTCTTGCCATGTGCTCTATGCAAATGCTAGGTGTGTGAAAAACACAAGGGAATAGGCTAAACCAATCGAGACTAAAAAAGTCGCTGGGGAATCGAAATTAACCAATGAAAGAGTTAGCCAACATATAGAAAACTAAAAGAAGCTAAAACGAGGCTCGGGTGATCAATCGAAGGGGTCGGAAAGGGTAGTCAGTAAAACATATGATGCAATATGCAATGAAAGGAATAAGAATATGTAATGTGTAAAAATATCAAACGCAAAATTACATGTTTAAAAATATCAATCGCAAAATTACAAAATAAAGGAAAGGGCAGCTGGTAAACGAGAATATCTGTCGTGTAAATAGTCTGACAAAAAGTCCAAATTATCCTTAATCCTCTGATTCAGTGGTCTCTTGCCGTGTACCGGTAGTTCAAAGAGCTGTATCTCTGGACGAGCCTGTCTAAATAACTTCAAAATATGGGCCAAACTTGCATCATATTTTTTTGTCTTCGTTTCCTATAGCGACAATCATATCAATCTACAAGAAAAAGAAAAAATCTTAGTGGTAAGCATGAAATAAAACTGAAGGGAAATTGATGAACTGTACTTACCGACACTTGTTGTGTGTTCCTTCTGAAACAGTGAGGACAACCGTAAAAGCGAGGATATGGTTTGTTTTCCATAGCAGAAGAAAAACTTTTGTAACCGCTTGAAAACGAAAATGCCACGAACTTTGGAATGTCTGTTCCAAGGCAACAGGGAAGGCGGGTAAATTCTGCATTCATTTTTTTCCTTCTGTCATTGGTCATGAAACATTGGGTCCAAAACATAATGATAACTTGAACTTCGAAAGGTAGCAGGGTGCCGAACGGCTTGTTTTGGGAGTCTACTAAGCCTTTATATTTCATTGCTTGAAGCTTCGTTAGCAAAAACAGCACAACAGAGCGTGTCTTGCCATGTGCTTTAGCAAATGCTAGGTGTGTGAAAAACACAAGGGAATAGGCTAAACCAATAAAGTTGGAAAAAGTCACAGGGGAATCCAAAAAGCACCAATGAAAGAAAAGCCAACAGTTAGAAAAAAGAAAAGAAGCATGAAGTAAGCCTCATTTCGCTTTACCGTTGTACCTTGTTTCTTAATCGAAAATGATGTCCCTTCAAGAACTAAGTCTGAAAGCTGCGCCACACCCGGGGGAGCAAGCCAGAAAGTTTTTGTCGCCAGGGCATACTGTACGTATTGCACTTGAAGGAAGGGAATTCAATGAAAGGATTGACAGGTTCAGAGAGGAACACAAACTTCGTTTTCGGTACGTACTCATTGAATTGCATGTGTTAGACGACTTAAACTTGACCCTGCCTTGTATCCCAGCCACGTGTGATGGCTACAGCGAAGTTAGCTTAAGGCGTGGATTGTTCTTTGTTTAGAGAGACGCTTATGGACATAAGGACATTAAGAGATCTTGACTGGACGTTATCCATGAAAATTTATTTTGCCAACTTTCTCCATTAATTTAGACTAACGTTACAAATCGTAAAAACAGTTATATGATATCAGACGTCTGATAAGAGTTATATGATGTCAGACATATAACGGCAGATGTCTGCTGTCATGTAACTGTTATCACACGTCTGATGTCTGATTTTATCTGTTATGATATATGTAATGTTTGATGTCAGACATCTGCTGTCATGACATCTGATAACAGTTATATGACAGCAGATGTCTGCTGTTGTATAACTGTTATTAGATGTCTGATGTTATGTTATGTTATATAACTGTTATCAGACGTCTGATAACAGTTAGATTATTTCAGACCTCTCATAACAGCTATATGACAGGAGACGTCAGATGTCAGATGTCTGCTGTCATATAACTGTTATCAGACGTCTGATGTTATATAACTGTTATCAGATGTCTGATATGACATCAGATGTCTGATAACAGTTATATGATTTCAGATCTCTGTTAACAGTTATTGTTGGCAGACGTCTGATGTCAGGTGTCTGCTGTCATATAACTGTTATCAGACATCTGATGTTATGTTATGTTATATAACTGTTATCAGACGTCTGATGTCTAATGTCAGTTGTCTAAAGTCAGACGTCTGATGTCACACGTCTGATGACAGAGGTATAATGTCAGACGTCTGATGTTATGTTATGTTATATAACTGTTATCAGACGTCTGATAGCAGTTATATGATGTCAGACCTCTGATAATAGCTATATGACAGCAGATGTCTGATGTCAGATGTCTGCTGTCATATAACTGTTATCAGATGTCTGATATGACATCAGACGTCTGATAACAGTTATATGATTTCAGATCTCTGATAACAGTTATATGACAGCAGACATCTGATGTCATGTATCTGCTGTCATATAACTGTTATCAGATGTCTGATGTTATATGTTATGTTATATAACTGTTATCAGACGTTTGATGTCTAATGTCAGTTGTCTAAAGTCAGACGTCTGATGACAGAGGTATAATGTCAGACGTCTGATGTCAAATGTCTGATGTGTTGTGTGATGACAGATGTTTGATGTCAGACGTCTGATGTCTGATACCAGACGTCTGATGTCTAATGTCAGATGTCAGATGTCTGACAACAGACGTCTTATGTCAGAGGTATGATGTCTGATGTCAGATGTCTGACAACAGACGTCTTATGTCAGACGTGTGATGACAGAGGTATGATGTCAGACATGTGATGTCAGATGTCTAATGACATGTCTGACAACAGACGTGTGATGTCGGACATCTGATGTCAGATGACAGATGTCTGATGTCAGACTTCTGATTTCTTATGTGTGATGACACATGTCTGATGTCAGACATGTCTTATACCAGACGTCTGATGTTAGAAGTCTGATGACAGATGTCTGACAACAGACGTCTGATGACAGAGGTATGATATTAGATGTTTGAAGGCAAATGTGTGATGACAGATGTTTGATGTCAGACATCTGTCTTATGTGTGATGACAGATGTCTGACATCAGACGTCTGATGACATATCTGATATCAGACGTCTGATGACAGATGTTTGTTGTCAGACATCTGATGACTTATGTGTGATCACAGATCTCTGATGTCAGACGACTGATGTCTAATGTCTAAAGACAGAAGTCAGATGTCAGACGTCTGATGACAGATGTCTGATAACAGACGTCTGATGTCAGAGGTCTGCTGACAGATGGCCGATAACAAACGTCTAATATAAGACATCTGATGACAGAGATATGATGACAGATGTCTGACAACAGACGTCTGATGTCAGATGTCTGATGACAGAGGTATGATGTCAGACGTCGGAAGTCAGATGTGTGATGACAGATGTTTTATGTCAGACGTCTGATGTCTTATGTGTGATGACAGATCTCTGATGTCAGACGACTGATGTCTAATGTCTAAAGACAGACGTCAGATGTTAAACGTCTAATGACAAATGTCTGATAACAGATGTCTGATGTCAGAAGTCTGATGACAGGTGTCTGATGTAAGATGTCTCATGACAAAGGTATGATGTCTGATGACAGGTGTCTGAGAACCGACGTTTGATGTGAGACGTCTGAACAGATATTTGATGACAGAGGTATGATGTCAGACGTCTGATGTCAGATGTCTGAAGACAGATGTCTGATAACAGATGTCCGATGTCAGATGACAGAGGTATAATGTCACACGTGTGATGCCTGTGGTGCCGGGTAGCTTATTAATGGGAATAATGGAATTAGACTTTGGTGATGTGATATCCTTTTTATTTATTGACTGCAATATTGGTAGTGATTTTGAATTTTATTGAATGAGTGAGAAATTAACGAAATGTACACCAGCCTGAAATGAAACTGTTCAACCGACTTTGGTTTTTTTTCTTCTTAACCTCCTGGGATTAGCATAATGCATGCAAAAGCATGATGAGCTAGGAAATGCACGTTAGCGGTAAAATAAACTGTTTTTTTGGTAGTTTAATACACCACTTTTAGCTGTCATTCCTTTTATCACTCACTGTTTTCGTTATCTTTCTTTTCTTGAACAGATTATTTCTGTGAAGGAGATACAGACATGCCATTATGAGGAAGAAGTATTTACTCCTCTGCTGTGTGGAAACCCAGTGACTACATGTAAGAGTTGTGTGCGGTTGTGCTATAAAAATACAGTGAACAACCTCCTTCTTGATCTTCTATTTAGATGGGATGAGGAAAACTGACCAAGAGATGTTGAATACAAGCTTAACCCTTTAAGCCGCAAGACTGATCAGCATCAAATTTCTCCTTGTAATATCAATGCTCTGTAAAGCAGATTAGCGATAAGATTTTTATGCACATGATCACACAAGATAGTTCACAATTTAACAACTTCTTCCCACAACTTTAATGGAAATTGTATGGGGCACCAAATGAGAATTTAAACTCTGATATTAGGTGTTAACAGGTTTTAACACACAGAATATATAACCCTGGATATCAGGATCTTATTTCAAATAAAGAATTCCTTCAGAGATTGAGACTTAAGACTTGCTCATTCAGCTGATACAACAACAAAAGCTATGCTACCGGTTTTAGTCAACTTAATCACGTGGAATAATAATTATTATTTTCTTTGAATTTCAGGTTTTGAGAGAAACTCGTCCATCATATCAGCTGCCATCCTTTAAGTTTTAAGTTTTGACAGAAAATGACTGACCTCTCACAAACAAAGCGTGCTGCCAAAAAGCATTGTACATTTTATCTTCGGTCTAAATATATCTGTTATTAAGATCAGCTGGGTTATCTGATTATAGAGTGATGGAGCAATAAACTGATGGTTAACACACAGCTTTAAATTTTTCCTTAACCACACCTCACTCCCTCACCCCTCGCGTGTCTCCCTCGCGCGCGGCTGTTCTCTCTTTCACCCTCTACTTCCAAGCACCTGCTACGCAGGCTACCCCTATCCTAGAGTGTCTTTTAGGCCGAGATGTATAAATTTAAACTTGACGATTTGATTTTTACATCTTTTGGAGTGGAAATTCCCAGTTTCCCTAGTCTAGACTAAAATCTCCAACCAATAATATTGATCAGTGTCCTGGAAAATGATAACCTAATCTAGACCCCAACTACTACTCTCTGATTTTAAATACCCTATCCAACAGTAAACTACTCGAAAACCATACGCTTCACAGCGGTACAACCCTATATACCCCATATATATGGCGCATTTGAAAACTGTATAGTTGAATTTGCGCGGTATAAATAAATGTTATGTTATACACAGGTGCCTCAGGAAACCAGTTACTTTTGTTTTCCCTTCAATGACTTGTTTCCCTTGACTTTGTCTTGGGAAACATTAGGGCTCTCTCTGTTTCCCTTTAGCCTGCGAATGGCAGACGTTTCTCCTCGCTCATCGCCGCTGAAGGACTTTCGCAAGGAGGAACGTCTGCGACTCGGCTTCAAAAATTCCATACTGATGACGTAAATCAATGTTTACATAATAAATCCGGTAGTCATAGAGGTTCCAAATGCAAATTTGTTCAATTTTACGTTTCTCCTGGTCAATTTTTTTGAGCTTCAACAAGAGTAAAATGCTTCTTTTAGAGAAGACTTTATTCCACAAATATTGACTGTTTTGTTAGAGATTCATCGCATTTACATTTGACCTTTGTGGCCTTTTGCCTTTTTTCTGTCATTTGTAAACAATAGCTAAAACAATGAAACTACTCCGTCAACCAATTAGCTCTTCTGACTGGATTCCGGACAGATTTTGCGTCATCAGTATGGGATTTCTGTCGCTGAGTCGCAGACGTTCCTCCTTGGGAAATGTCCCTCAGCGGCGATGAGCGAGGAGAAACGTCTGCCGTCCGCAGGCTAGTTTCCCTTGGGATCTGACAATAAGTGTCAGTACATGCTTTTTTAAGAAAAGAGTTTCAGTGGGTGAAGTATAAAAGAAAGAGAACAACTTTTACCAATTTGGAAGCTTTATTTACTTTCTTTTCATTTTCAAACAATAACATTCCATGCAGCTACAGTGAAGATGTGTTTGTTGCACCTGCAAAATTGAGAAGTAGCGATAA